GAAGTGCTACTGCTTACAAGATGAAGGTCTAATATCTTTGCCGCTTTTAACCTTCCGTGCCGGCAACATGTGTGCAAGGGTTCCTGCCCTAGGCAAGGTGTAAGCAGAAGTCTCCCAGCCAGTGTGCAAACTCTGCTAAAACCCGAAGCACTGTGCTGGTGCGGCAGCGATGGCCAGCGTGACGCCGAAGCTGCTTGCTTCCTGACTTAGATAAGGATGATGCTTAGAAGCACACGACATGGTTATGGAGAACCAAGGTCACGTGCTTCGTTTCACTTAGTACATCTCTTTTCCTGCTGCATAGCAACCAACTTGACTCTTATATGTTGGGCTCTATTATAAGTAACATCCGCACATTACCATCATAAAGCCTGCACATAAAAGCTATGGAAACTGAGCCCAGGCCACCCACATCCTACTGGATCGATTGGTTTTATAGGGGTTTTCTGAGGATTATAGGGTATGTATTGGGGCTATATTGGGATAATGGAGAAGAAAATGGAAACTACTACATTAAAGTAGGGTATACATTGGGGCTCTATGGTTCATGTTACTTTAGAAAATCCTTCGAAGCCGCTGAGGTTCTGCTCTGACTTCAGCACATGTTAAACCTAAACCCTTTTAACCCTGAACCCTGTAAACCTGTGACCCTATAAACCCTATAAACTATTGAAAAAAGCAAAGCAAACTTCATCTCACCCCTCTGGACCCATTGAAAAAGCCAGCAAACTTTTCGCACGATGGAAAGTTACCAACAACATTTTTTTTCAAACCCGAAGCTCGTATGAAGTTTGACTTGCCGGGTGTGGACAGTGTGAACTCACGAGTGAGACACAGACGCCTACCCTAAACCCTAAACCTTAAACCCTAAAAAACCTTAAACGCGAAACCCTAAACTCTAAACCCTAAACCTTAAACCCTTAACCTTAACAATGCTAGGGTTTAGGGTTTAGAAGCTTAGGGATGATCCTGGCCTGAAGGCTTCGCAATGTACATCGAAAAAGGGCAGCTACTATTTATTGTTTGGGGTGCAGAGTTCATAGGGTCCCTGTCTTGGGTCCCTAAAATGAAGATTATGGAGATCTTATATTAGGTACGTACTGTTCCGGGGGGATCGTTATCCCCACCAAGATGCTGAGTATGCTGTATGGGCTATTATGTCAACACGGAAATTTCGGAGGTGCTGATGATGTAGGTGGGCCAGCTGTGCTGCAAAGCCTACAAGAAAAAGATTCCCCAGAAGCTAGCTGGAGCTAGCCAAACGGAGATCACTAGGCAGGGGTCAAAACGGAGACCGCCTCATGCTGATGCAGCTGTCCTGTTATAGAGTTGTGGAGCTTCGGATGAAGATTTTCTCAGCATCTGACCTTTTCTAGAGTTTCTGGGTCAAAATGGAGACGCATATATGCTGATGATGGTGCATTCTGGTGGCCGAGCTGTGCTAAGGAGGGTAGAAAGTAAAACCGGCATTTGCCGCACGTTTCCAAATCACAAAAGTTTTCTTGTGGCCGGGCGACGCAGCTTCAGAAGCGTCGAGCAGCGCTCCTGCATCTTGATAGAATGTCTCTCGGTCCTGGCAAGCAAACCAATTTGGGAATTCCAAAGGGGCCTGTGGGCACTTCCCAATTGAAGGTCAGAATTATGCTAATCATAGTCTGTTGGAATACGAATTATAATATTATATTGTAATACAATCATAACATGCTGTAATGCTGGCCCTTGCCATGTGTTCCGTAACGCTATGCCGCACACTGTAACTGCAAACAAATCAATTGAGCTTTGGTCTAAACTCTCAATGTCCCTCTGAATAACCCTACAAGAGTACCTTATACAACCCTTATATAAGCCCCTGCAAGGAGTTTAGGCTATGGCTCAACTCATGTCAGTGGCACTGCCGCGGTGTATGGAGCTGGCAGCGTGTGCATGTTTGAGTGCAGCAGCCTAAGCGAGCGGGACTGCTGGGAGTTGACTCAACTCCCAAGTATTCATTACTTCTTCTTCTTCTTCTACTACTACTACTACTTATTATTACTATGTGTTATTACAAGTCTCTTTGCTAGTACTTACTGGTTCTTAGCGGGGAATAACAGAATATCATCTGTATGTGGTCCCTGTATGATATATTCCCTTATTCCCTTCTAAGAACCAGTAAGCATAATGTCCCGATATAATCCCCAATACTATAGTAGTTTCCATTTTCTTTTCCATTATTCAATATTCCCTAAACCCTAAACCCCAAACCTCTTCCAAAAATGGGACCCCAATATAGACATCCTGAAACACTACAGTCTTCATTGTTGGGGACCCCAAGAGGATACCCCTAACCCTAAACCCTAAAACCAATTTACCCCTAAACCCTAAACCCAATCTACGCCTCAACCCTCAACCCCGGTAGTTCTCAGAACTGGATCCCGGCTGACGCCAATGGGATCCAGTTGGCTGCTCCTTTGGCTGACGCCGCGGTCGCTGTGAAGCTTGGCCTTGAAAACTATGAGGGTTTTTTGCTGCTTGCAAGGCTCGGACGGCATAGCAAGGTTCATTCCGGTTCCACTATGAGGGTTTAGGGCTTAGGGTTTTGGGATTTAGGGGTTTAGGGTTTGGGGCTTAGGGGTTTGGAGTTAAAAGTTTAGGGTCTAGGGTCCTAAACTCCGTGGATACTAAAAAATCCTGCATGCCCCTAGGTACCTGATACCCTTAGGAATTATGGTGCTATCGTATATTGAGGTCATGCAGGATTTTCAGTATCGACAGCACTAGGAGAATCTCCCAATATACCCCTGTAAGGGTACGAAAAGAACATGGAAACTGGTACAGTAGTATAGGGCATATACTGGGGTTATATAGAGATGATGGAAAACAAGATGGAAGCTACTACATCTTAATAAAGTACATGTTGGGGTTATATAGGGGTCATGGAAAAACATGGGAACTACTACATTATAATAGGGTATACCTTGGAACTATGTTTCAATATGATGGATGAGAAAATGGAAGCTGCGACAGTATAATAGGGTATACATTGGGGTTATAAAGAGATAACGGAAAAGAACATGGAAACTACTACATTACCATAGAGTATATGTTGGGGTTATATAGGGATAATGGAAAACAACATGGAAATTGCTACACTATGACAGGGTATATACCGGGGTTTGCAATGGCCATAAAACTGTGTACCTTTTTAAAATGTGGCAGTTTCCATGTTTTTCCATTATCCCTATATAACCCCAATATATACCTTATTATAATGTAGCAGTTTCCATTTCCTGTTCCATTATCCCTATACAACCCCAATATATATCCAATTATAATGTAGCAGTTTCCATTTCCTCTTCCATTATCCTCAATATATATCCAATTAGAACGTAGCAGTTCAATTTTCTTTTCCATTATCCCCATATAATCCCAATATACCTGATTATAATCCATTATCCCCATATAATCCCTATATAACCCCTTATAGTACTTTCCATTTTCTTTTCCATTATCCCCATATAATCCCAATATATACCTGATTTAATAATGTAGAACCCTAAACCCTAAACCTTAAACCCTAAATCCCTAAACCCTGAACCCTAAACCCTGTTTGAATCCGACTTGGGGATTCCCGTCCATGGCCCGGACGCCTTTCAGCCATCCCTGAAGTAATGATGGAGAATCAAATGGAAAAGAACATGGAAAATGAAATGGAAACTGTGAATTTATGGGGGACTATTCGTTCAGGAGTCCCTGAAGTATTCGCAGCCATGGGCATTTCTTGAAGAAGGGGGAAGATGTCATAGCATGGGTCGGGAGTGCGCCTGCGCGACGGGAGAAAACCGCTCTTCTGTACCACTACTTCTCACATGAGCTTTGTTCTTAACTCCTAGTATCCCAGTAATAACCCTTGTAATACTCCCCTATATCATCCCCAACAATAGCGCCTCTAAGGAGTTTAGACTATAGCTCACCTAGGATTTCCTCAGTTGCAACTCGGAGATTCGGTAGAAAATTGCTGAGTCCTTTGCTCTGGAGTCCTTCTCAGGAAGGTCCCAGTATTTGGTGGGTGCAGAGGCAATCCAATTCTTCAAAGCCCCCAATGCTATTTCGTGCCAACAGCGCAATGCCTGGGAATGAAATTTTGCAAGTGAGGACAGGACACCTAACTAAATATGCGTGGGTGCCGCCCGGCAAACTTTGAAGAGGAACCCGTACTGCAAGTTTGGGAATTCAAATCCAGGCGTCTGGCAACATGAATACACATCGTACTTCTCCTGCTCGCGCTGGCAATAGACCCATACCTTGCGAAATGACTGGACATGTTAACAACTGTTCTTGTGGCCCCAGACTCCGGCCAGCTGCTCTTCATCAGCTTGTACTGGACGTTGTCGTCCTGCTGTGGGCTGGCAAGCAGAAACTTGTTACATTGTTGATGCGCTGCCGAGACTACGGCGGGCTGTGGAAGTCCAAGGTGTTCATATGCAGAATTACTGACGCTGAGCCAGTGTGACCACGGAGCAGCCTCCACCACGATCTTCTGAGATAGACAGCAGTTTTGAAGACACGGGCCTCAAGCTGTGAGCATGCATGTCTGTCTCCTTGCAAATTTCCTACGGAAGACGCCTGTTCGATGATTTCTGTGCAGTAGCCATGACATCATCTCCTGACATAACACGAGCAGAAGGTCATGTTGATAAACATTGGGAAGGAGCTTTCGCATTTGCTCCACTTTGTGTGGCCTGAGGAGCCGCTTCTGGCCTTCCGCCATGGACATGCTGTGCCCCCTAGTCACTCTGTCCATGCATTACGCTTTACTTGGGCAGCATAAACTTGCTTCACTTCGCTTGTGAGCTGGCTCATTCAAATAGCTCAGGCTCGGATGTAAACAAATTCATTCATAAGCCTGAGAAAAGGCCGCGTCATGCCACAAGCAAAGAGAAACCAGAGTCATGCAAGGTGCATCGGTGCATCACACAGCTGCTTCCTGCACATGTGTGGCTCTTTTTTTGCTGCTTGACTCATCATCGTACATCAGTAGGCAACTCACCGGCATGCAGGCGCGGCGTCCGGGGTGTGCGCTGCGGATTGCACGGGTTGCCATCCATGGCTGCATGCAACCGCGGCGATGTCTGAGGGACATTCAGCGTGGATGGTGCTGGCTGCGGGCCTTCCGCCCTGCTCAGCCGTCTAGTTCCCACACCTTGGCCACAGGCATGGTGCGCCTCATCGCGCTTGATCTGTGCCTTGAAAGCGGCCAAGTCCTCCATGAGATTCATGTAAACTTCCACCTTTCTTCTAACAATCTTATCAACCTCGAGGGCATACCACTCAAGGTCGTAGGCAGCTCCTTGCTGAACCTGTGACAGCAGCTCACTCTCCTTTGTTAGAAGTCGAGCATCCTCCTGCAACGCATGCATATGCTGTGTGACAATTCGGTCTTCCCAAAGCCGGGACTCTGCCCAAGCCTGTGGTGCCGCTGGCGGTGCTGCGGGTGCTTGAAAGCCTGCTTGTTGACAATGTGGAGCTGCATTCTTGTCCTCGTACTCCTCGAGGTCTTCATCTAAGAGCTCTTCTTCAGAGTGCAAATCTAGAGTCTCATCCTTGGCCAAATCAGGAACTGTACCGCTGTTGGGTCTCTGCCTGATGCCGGCCATGGCTGGGCGCTCAAGCTTGTTAGGCGACGGGCTGCGACGATTGCCTTGCAACTTACGGTCAGGACTTTGGTTGCGAATGCCTGTAGACAAGCGCCGGCCTGCTGCTGAGTCCCCATCCTCCACTGCCTTTCCGCTGCGCGGATGCTCCTTCAGCCGATCGCTGTAGCGCAGCGTATTCACACTGTGGTCGGCGGATGCCATGCCAGGTGATATGCAAGCTATCATGACAGTCTTGGCTGGGCAGCGGGATATGAAAGCGTCTCGCAAAACCAGTGTCAGCTTGGAAGCTCTGAAAGGTACATGTGCTTCCCGCCGATCGCCCATGGCACGAATACACTCTTTCAGAGCCAGCAGTGACTTGTTGATCTGTGCCCCTTCCACTCGCCTCTGGCGGATGCTCGATTTGGAATCGGCTGCTCGCTCAGAACCAGCCAAGTCAACCAATGTGACTTTGCCATGAATACTTCCACCACCTGCCTTCCGAAGAAACACCACGCAAATTGCGTGGGAACGAGATGAATCTCGGTTGATGGCTGTGCCCTGGGTAGTTCGAAGGGAATTGCCCAAATCGATGCACTGCTGCATCTCTTGTGGGTTCGAAGTGCCACGCTCAACGAGACCTGCAATTTGCACCTCATTGTTTGCATCCTCCAAGGTCTCCAGGCGTTGCCGGTTGTTGAGCAAGTCAAACGGCCTCCCACCATAGATCTCAAAGAAAGAAATCGAGATGGTCAAGTCTAAGCTTGAAGCACGCTTAACGTGCTCGAAGAGTTGCTCGGTTAGCAAACGCTGAATGCCAGTCATGGTGAAGGTTTTGCCTGACCCAGTCTGGCCGTATGCGAACAATGTTGCACGACCACCTTTTGCCAACACCCACGGCACAATTGGAGAGGCCACTGTTGTGTACACATCTTCAGTTGTGCACTCTTCATCAAAGACTCTATCGAATTCGAACTGATGGGACTCAAGGCACTTTGTGATGCCATCCACCTTGAGCTTCGTCTCATGGACCACTGCACACGGATTGCAAGCGGTGACGCAATCCAATTCCGAATTTGTCACTTCATGCTGCATGATCGGCCGCTTCCGAACGCACACAATGACACCTTCAGGGGCACCAGGATCCAGAGGCTCGAAGCGTGTAGGTTGAGGGCACTGCTGACTCAGACGGTAATTTTGAATCATCCGATGGAAATCTATATCGGGCACATGGCCTCCACATTGGGCACCCAAAAGAGCCGCCTCTTCTTGCCGGCTCCGGCGCACCTCCTCTGCCTGCCGTCTTCTCTGCTCTCTGTTCGCATCAATGCGACGGATCTCTTCAACTGTCGAAGATGTCACTCGACGAACGGTGGGCTGCGAACCCTTGCTCAGAGATCCAGAACCCAACGGCCCTCCTGGAGTCATCGAGGGTCTTGCCGCTGGACCATTCAAGCCACTAGGGTTTGGTGCGGAAGATTTTCCCAAAGCTGGGGACCGAGCTCTGTTGGCACCAGTCTTAGTCTCAGGTGATCTGGGGCGCGCAATGCCGGCATTTTGCCCAGCCTGCGCTGACCGCCGATTGGTGGGTATGCCCACATTCATGCGGCCCAGGAGCGTTTAACTTCCCACCCCCTGCTACGCTTACTCGTGCTTCAGCCGAGATTTGCAAGACAAGCAAGACATGAATCTGGATTCAGACAAAGGTAAGAGCTGCACGTTGTTTTCACTGATCTAGGTTAGGAGGACCCCCCA